CCTTAACCATTGTACTATGAGCACCAAGCCTATTACACACTTTATTATCATTATTATTGTTGATCTGTTGCCCTGGGTAGAGTGCTATGGTGCCAGCCTAGCTTATAGCAACCTCAGATTCCTCCTGGCTCAGCCTCCCAAGTAGATGGGACTATAGGCTCCTGCCACAATGCCCAGCTAATTTTTCTATTTTTAGTAGAGACAGGGTCTGGCTCTTGTTCAGGCTGGTACTGAACTCCCAAGTTCAAGAAATCCACCTGCCTCAGCCTCCCAGAGTGAGCTGCCAGGTCCAGCCAACAGTTAAATATTTTAAAGCACGAGGATGAACTCCTTTGTCAAAAATAAAACATTTTAAATAATTTAAAATTATTTACATAATTTGTATAACCCTGTGTTGGCATTTCTTCATTTTTAAATACACTTGGAGCCTCAAAAAAAAGTGTACCTGGTCCCTCTTGACCTCCAATCTGTGGCTGGGAAGTGTGAAGGGGTCCCTTGCTGCTCCTCTGGCCCCCCAGGGCAGGGTAGGGAAAACCATTTCCTTATCGCCTATCATGGGTTGGGCTGGGCCCCTGGGCCCTGGGTGAGAGTGATGAAGGACAGACAGACCCTGAGCTGGCTGGGGAAGTCAGGGAAGCTTCCCAGGGGGCTGCAGTTGAGCCCTGGGCCTCCCCCAGCCCTGCTCCAGATCTGCTCGTGCTAACTAGGCCCCAGGGAGATGGCAGAGCACCCTGCCCAGCCTCGGGACTCCAGATGCTGCCTCCCACCTGCCCCCTTAGGCACTTTAGCTCCAGGCTCCAGAGAGAGGCTGGCACTGCCTTTCCAGGCAGGGTTCCTCTCCCCACCCTCACTCCTCAGGAGCTCTGCCTAAGCCACTGCCATTTCCAGGGACAATGTGGACCTCCATGTACCTAGCCAAGCCCCAGTGCAGCTCTCCCTACCAGCCCAGAGCAGGCTCTGCAGTCCAAACAACACCTTGCCCTGGACCCAGGTGGGAGAATTCATTAGTTTCCTCAGCAAAGGCCTACAGCATTTAATTGCTGAAATGAAAAGGTTCCCATGAAACCAACACCAGCCCTCTCCACCAAGCAGAGACTCCTCACCCCAGCAGACCTCAGCTGCAGTCAAAACCTGGAGCTCCCTGGGCAGAGCAAGCTGCCCTCTGGCTCTGCAGGCATCTACTGGAGTGTAGCACAAGTGTTCCTTGCCAGCATATTTGCACATGAACACCCCTCACACCCACATGCACGAGCAGGGTTCTTTTCAAACTCTTTTAGCATTAGCAAAATCCTTTTGTTAAATGAAATCTTAAAAGCACACACCAAAGATATATATTGAACATAGGTGCTGGAGAGGACAGCTGAGGGTCCCAGTGTGTGCACGGGGCTTTGCCTGCCCAGCCCCTGCTCAGCTCCAGAGAAGACAGCTGCTTGGTCCCTGCTATCCAGTTCTCCAAGCTCTCCCACCTGGGGTGGTAGGGACGGGTGTGCCTGAGTTTACTTAAGGAAAGGGAGGCAGAAAGCTTCCTCCAACTGAGTGGGCAGCTATGGGCAGGTGGCAGCAGTACCCTCTTCTTTCCTCCTCACTTTTGTCCCCCCATCCTGCCTCATCCAGCTCCTCCCCCATCCCAGAACACATTAATTTTTGGTTTCTGGGGTTTGTGGCTGGCTCTCTGGAGCTTCTTAGCTTACCAGTTGTGGTGCCCCAGACCCAGGACTGCCCACTTTGGGGGCATTCACAGATATTCCCTGAGCATCCACAACCCCATCTCGCCTGCCTCTAGATCAGAAGGATGACCAGTGAAGACAGGAAGGAGGACCATGATGGAGGCAGCCCCAGGAAGTAGGAAAATGCTTCCTTGGGACCACAGTCTTCCCCCTTCAGAGTTCCTGTTGCCAGGGAAAGAATCCTGTTCCCCAGGCCCTCCCTATACCTGTGCCCTCCCACAGGGAACTGTGCAGTCTAATCCTCCTCCCCCATCCCCAGGGAACACCAGGGACTCGTGACTCTTAGAACCAGGACTGTGCCCATCTGGCTGTGCCAGGCAAGGAAAAACTGGTGCATCCTCTGGCCTACAGACCTTTATCCCCCCTGACCTAGCAAGGTATGTGCATGGTGGCAAGCAGAGTGCCAACAACCACGGTACTGCTGATTGCCAGGCAGGAATGGTCTCTGTCCATTCCCTTCACCCAAGCACCTCCTTCCTAGCCACCAATCCCTATCTCCATCCCCCAGAAAAGCTATTAAAGGGCTGGCAAAGCCCATTAACCTGCTCTGAAGGTTCCCAGGTTATCCCCCTCCTCGGCCAGTCAGCACTGCCAAGCCTGCCCACGGAGCTTTGCTAGAGTGAAGAAGAAACAGCTATGCCAAGCCCAGGCCATGGAAACCACATTGCCGAGTGCTGGAGGAAAATCTGACTGTCTTCTGTGGTGTTTGGTGTCAGGAGGACCAGAGATCAGGGACCCCCCACCGGGTGGGATGCCAGGATCCTATAGTGATTTCATCTTGATGTTAGATGGCTGTCCCCAGGTCAATCCCCTGCAGGAAACAGCCTGGTGCTCTGAGGAGCAAGCAGAGCACATCCAGTTTGAGCCTCACTCTGGGTCAGTCCTGGAGTTGGGATACAGTCAGGGGCCTCTCCCACCTAGACTGATTCCCCTGAGAGAAGGAAAGGACTAGCCTGGCTTCTTTGTAGTTGAACAAGGGTTAACCTCAACTGGTGCCCTATATTCCCCCTGGCCTGGATCCAGGGCAAGCGGTGTCCATTTCAAGGAGACATTAACTCGCCAGGGCAGAGATAGAGTGAAGCTGGTACCTGGTTTCTGTGGCAGCCTGAGGGGAGGGAAAGAGGAACATACACAGCAGCCCCAAACCCCTGTTACCTGCAGCAGCCCCAGCACTCCCCTTCCCAACCCTCCCCCAGCAAGATGGCTTCTGACTTTAGGAGTATCAGCAGAAATGCTTAGATGAAAAAGTTTTTTCAGGCTTGGTGCCTGTAGCTCAATGGTTAGGGTGCCAGCCACATACACCAGGGCTGGTGGGTTCGAACCCGGCCAGAGCTTGCTAAACAACAACAACAACAACAACAACAAAAATAGCTGGGTGTTAGGGTGGGCACCTGTAGTCCCAGCTACTTGGGAGGCTGAGGCAAGAGAATCGCTTAAGCCCAAGAGTTTGAGGTTGCTGTGAGCTGTGATGCCACAGCACTCTACCAAGGGCAACATAGTGAAACTCTGTCTCAAAAACAAAAAACAAAAAAACTTTTTTTCCAAGACATTTTGCCTCTTTCCAGTCTCTGCAGAAAAAGGATCACCTACCCACAGTCAAGGGAGTGATATTGAGGCATTCTGAGGTTTAGCTTTCTGCCTAACAATCCTTAGACCTTTGGGAAGTTCTTCTCAGATCAGACTTAAATCCTTCCTGCTGTAACTTCTGTTTGAGACTTGTCTTCTTTTGCCTCTGAGGAGGAAAGCAGAGAAAAGCCAGAAGAGACTGGGCTGTTCGTGTTTTAGCACTATGAAGATGACAATGGAATTCTGTATTCACATTTTTGTCACCAGAATACAGTCTCCTTAAGGGCAGGGGCTGGTGCCTTGTTTGTTCATTTGTGCTCCCTCAGGTCACTTTGACCTCACTCCCTTTACCAGGCCTCTCATGGCTGCAAACTACTTTTATAGCAGATAAACAGAGAAAACTTGGAGAATCCTATTGTAAGGAGAGGTAGAAAGGAAGTGGACACACAGCCCAACCAGCTTGCAGACACAGTCACTTCAGTATTTCCTAGGACAGCTGTGCAGAGATGGATAACACACAGGGCTACAGGCTCACTTCAGCAACATGTCCCCTGACCCTCACCTTGCCCAGTATCTGACGTCCTGCCCTTCACCTTCACTCTTCCCTTGGCAATTGGACAGGTCCTTAGATTGAACCTCCTTCCAACTCACCAAGTAGCTCACAGAAGGTATAATCCCTCAGAGGCAACTCCTGAGCTAACTCCTCTGAGCTGAGCCATGGCTCCAAAGTCTCAGACCTAGACCAAGTCTGGAAGTCTCAACCAGAGGCAACCCATGCAGGCTGGGTCCAGCTCTGGTTCCTCCACCTTGGGGGGTTGGTCACGTATGCCATGAGTGCCTACCTGTGGCCTGGGTGCCAAGGGCAGAACTGAAGACTATCTGTGTCCTGAAAAATGGCCAGGAGACTCCACCCCTTCCTCTGTTATCTTGGAGGCCACTGCCCAGCCCAAAGCTGACTGATCTACCCCATCTCGATGACCAGTAGAAACCCCAGAGCCCACTCTGTGATCAGAACCTCAAGCCATTTCTACGGCCAGTGCGCACTAGCTTCCTCAGAGCCTAGAAGCCAGGCCCCAGCACCAGAGGGCAGGAGAGCGCCTTTCAGCACCTGGACAAGGCCCTTGCTGGGGCCTTCCCAAGAGGGTCTTTTTCCACTGTCCCTTTCTCAGCTGGGCTTCGGTCTGAGGGATCTAGGGGCTTTGCCCAGTCTGAGCAAAAAGAGAAAGAGCTCACACGGAGGGTAGAGCTGGGTGGGGCTGGGATGCCTGGGAGTGTCACACAACCTATTCCCTGATCCTTGACCTGTGGTCCCCTCCCCACGCAGGCCTCCCCCATCTCCGCACCCTCACGCGAGAGATATCACCGCACAACTGTGTGGGGCGGACTCTCCCACCACATGGAACATGGACCACCGAGCCTGCAGCCCCTCCCTGCAGCCCTCACTGCCCCAGCGGAGGAGGACCACAGTGTCCCCTATTCCAATCTGGGAAGGTCTGAAACACGTGCGGCCCCCGAGTCCCGGCCACACAGGAGCTGGCAGGGGTCGCTCCCATCACCCTCTCCCGGTCAACAAGCACAGAAGCCGCGGCTGCGAACAAAGAAGCGCTGCAAACTCGCTGGGGAGGCGGGACAGCCCGCGACGCGCCCCCTCCCCACGCCGGACGGGCGTGCCGTGGGGTCCCCGCGGCGCCTCGACGGCGCTCTCACCTGGCCGGCGCGGACCTCTTTCTCCAGCTCACGGTGGCGATTGTGCCACACGAGGTAGTGCAGCGGGTACTTGCCCTCGGGCCCCTTCCTGGCGGAGGCGTTGGCAGGGATCATCGCCTGCTCCTCATACCGGGGCCGCGGCGCCCCGCCCGGGAGGAGGGACGGCGCCGGAGCCGGGAGCCGG